GAGTTTAGGGCTGTTGTACATAGGGTCGCTATGAGTCGCAAGCGACTCGATGGCACATAACAACAACAACATCCCTAAAGTGCTCCCACATGCATTGTTTCAGTTCTTGATTATTTGTTTGGGATAGGGATTTCAAAGTCTGAAATGGAAGTAATTCATCTAAAATCATTGCTGAATTTACAGAAATTTAACTCTGAATATTCAAAATTAAACCTCTTTGGGACCAAATGCTTTGAGCAAAATGAACTTCGAATTTCTATGGAACAGCCTGACCTCTTGGAGGGGAAGGGAGGACAAGAGCAAGCATGTAAATGAACTTTTTTTTTTGGTTCCTCTTCACCTCTGCCCCTCCAAACCTCAAGCTCTCAGCCTAATGAATGCTTTTGAGCCTCAGAAGGAATTAAGAAGAACAATATTTGACAGGGGGTGAGGAAGAAACTAAATATAGTTCCCCTGTGAGAGAAATATAGCCCATCATTTTCTCCTTCACCCTTGCTTTCTCACTCCATCTTTCAGTGTTATTTTGTGCATTTTTTTGTTGTACAGTAAGTTACGACAGAATAAAAGCTGACAGCATGAGATATTGTTTTGTCCTGTTTTCGAAGGATTAACAGATTAAGATGTTTCCAACTTTATACTCTATATATTCTCTAACTATACTCACTTCTACTTGCCTAATGGTTTTCATTCTAAAATGCTGATGTGTTGCTCAGTTCATTGAATCTGTACAACCTGAGAGGCAGTCAGTAGAAATAATGCTGGATACTCTCTCCCACACTTGACGTGTTTAGAAGCGCTGAAGGCCACCCTGGTGGTGAGTAATGAAACCAGAACTCACTCAGCTCTCTAGATCTCAGACCTGCTGTTTTCCCTAACTTCACAAAGATCCCCGGTGGTGTTTGGCTCCACTTTTGGCCATTGGGATCAGCGCCACAAGAGAAGGATTCTTAAAGAATGGGAGAATAGAATTTAAATTTTTTAAAAGTTCAGTTAACCAGGCCAAACGACACTAGCAGATTCCCCTAGACACGGGAGAAGAAGACTGTCCATCTTTCTTCAGAGGAGCAGCTGGTGCACTCAAACTATACATTTTGAGACTATCGTCCTGAGGTACACTTTCAACCTCCAACAGAAAATTATCAGTCACTTTTTAGGTAATGACTGTTTGAGTCATAAAAGAAAGAATATCAACTGTGGGTAATATGGGTAACATGCCTCTTTAAAAAAAGATCTAGAGGAGTAATTAGGGAGTTCTGGTAGTGTAGTAGTCTGTACACATCAATTTGTTCTGCTAACTCAAAGTCTGTGCTACTCCAGGGGTTTGGGTTTGACCCCATCAGCAACTCCATGGGAGGACAGTCTCTTCCTATGTGACTCACAAGGCCAAAAATAAGTTAGACTTGACTTGAAGGCAGTGATTTAAGAAGTAACAAAACGTTCTAAAACAAAGATGAGAAGGTAAGAGGTTAGGGAGACTTTTTACATGAGTTGACTTTGATTCATTGTAACCCTATGCACCTTGAAACCTTGACTTGCTTCGGGCCATTTCCACATCTTACAGGGAAAGGAGTGCTGGAAAAGGTACAATCAGAGTGGGATGAATGAGAATGATGACATAGTGTAAAACATGTATCCAGCATCACTGAATGACTTGAGTAGAAACTGTTCAAGGGAAACCTAATTTGCTTTGTAAACTTTTACCTTAAACTATAAACTTTTATCTATCTATCTAAGTGCAAATAGCCTGCCTGACCAACACAGCTATTGCTATAATCGTTGTCACCTATTATCTATTTTTTTAATTTGTGTGGCTCAGTACGTTAACATAATAATGTAAAAAATTAGATCCTCTTACAACTGTTAATATTGATATTAGTATAGGTCAACAAATAGCATCAAAACAGGTATGGCCAGAGAGGTGGACTTTCCTGTGCATAACTATTTTTTACAAGCTTTCTCCAGAACTGTATGATCCATTTTCAGCTTAGAAATAATTCACTAAACATTTCAGCAGCATAGTGCTGATTGAGCACAAAGGTGGCTTTTCAGTGGAAAATTAAGACCCAAACATGTCTCTTTACGATCAAACAAGTAGGAATGCATTGACTAGTATTTCTTGGTGGTGGAGTGTTATATGCCGTGGGGTCACGTGTGACTCACAGGGACCCTATGTGCAACAGCTCTGAACCCTGCCCTATCATGAGCCAACCTGACTGTATCTGACACACCTACCTACCCCCATTGCCCCAGTCACCGAGTCAATCCTTCTCATCCTGGATCTTCCTCTCCCACGCTGTCCCTCCTCTCTTCCAAGCATGATGTTCTTCAATGACTAGTCCCTCCTGGCCACGTGGCCAAAGTATGTGAGACAGAGCTCAAAATCCTTTCCTCCAGAGAACAGTTTGGTATCACCCTCTCCAGGACTGACCTGCTTGTTCTCCTCGCATTCCGTGGTATATTCAACCACTCTTCTCCAGTACAACTCAAAGGCATCACTTCTTATTCTATCATCCTTAGACATTGTCCAGCTCTCTGCAGAATAGCAAGTAATTGCAAAGACCATGGCCTGTATGTCAAGTCTCTGGACTGACATAATTGCCCCTCAGTACTCGGAAAGGTATCTGACAGCAGACTTTACCAATGCGATTATTCTTTTGATTTCCTCACTGTTGGTGCCAAGAGTGTCGACTGTGGAACCAAGTAAGTTGAAGCTGTTAACAATCTCAATTTCTTCTCTATCATAAAGCTGCCAATTGGTCCATTGGTGAGAACCATTGTTTTCTTGATGCTGAGCTTCAATCCATATTGAAGACTATAGTCCTTGACCTTTTTAGAAACACAGGAAATTCTTTCACCAATCTAATACTTTGGGTACAAAAATCTCTATAGAGATAAGCTAATATCTTTTTTTTCCTCTGAAAAACTAAAAGCAATTCAAGTTTTAAGACTGGAATGCTTCCAAATAAGATGATAGCTATCATGAAGTAGAAAATAAGATGAAATATATTACCACAATGTTCTGCTGTGTCTAATTGTGAAAATGAATGAATTTCAGCAAAAGTATTCTATTGTGGATTTGCAAACCATTAAGACCAAGAGACCAACAATCAACACATTCCATAATTAATATAACTGAGATACTTCATGACAATATGGTAATCACTCATCTGACACTCTACTAGACATTGCCACATCCCTGTGGAAATTAGAAACTGAAGACATTCCAGTCTATTCTTTGACTAGCCCCATTACAGAGCATTGTAATGATAATATTGGTAGTGATCATTCACAAATGAGTTGTTAACAGCTGCCTCATTGCCAAGTAGTTTATGCACTATTAATATCTAAATAATGATGTGAGACAAGTTATTGTCTCATTGTATCAGAAGAGAAAGCCACAAAATCTTGACCAAAAAGTGGATTACAAAATTTACTTTGCTCCAGTTCACATTGGTAGAAATGGGAGTCAGCCACATCCCTCAGCTTACCTGACCTCAGCACTGCCCTGCTACTTTTGTTCTCTTCTCTAAAGCACCTCATGCAGTTGACTCCAACTTAAGGTGATATGTGTGTCAGAGGAGAGCTGTGTCACACAGGTATTAATGGCTAATTTTTAAAAAGCCTGCCAAGCCTTTCTTCAAGGTAACCCTGGGTGGAGTAGAACCTCCAATCTTGCAGTTAGCAGCAGAGCCAGCAGTATGGGCCAGGACTCCTAGTCTTCTCTAGCCTACTCCTTCAACAGATCTTCATTTAACACAGGTTTCAGTTCTATGAAGTCACTTAGGAGTCACTGTTAAACATAACAGGGACATTGAGTTACAGCAATTTACTTGAAAGGTTTAAAAACAGGCGATTCACCAATAAGCGGATGTTCAGCACATCACTAAAGACAGGGAAGGCATGGAGAGTGTGCACTGGGAGGGTTTACAATGCAGGGATTGCAACTAATGTCATAGAACAAACTATGTATGAATGGCTGAAGGGAAAACCAATTTACCCTGTACACTTTTACTTAAACCGGAAACCTGCCCCCAAACTCCAACAATATCTAGGAGGCTCTATGCTCACTGAAAATTGACAAAGGGCCGTGATCATATACCCAGATACGTACAGTGATCATATACTCCCATGTTGTGTGTGAAAATGTTATAAAAGAAATGATGGGTATTAATGCTAATTAAGCAGCAGAATCATTCCCCTTTACTACCCAATTAGAAACAATCAGAGCAACAAGGTTTTTTAAAAATTATATTTAATACAAGTGAATAGATTAGAAGATCTGAAATGTTATAAAGCAATATACATAATGAATAAATAATTTGCACAGGAGGGTCATGTCTACATTACATAACACTGTCTAGTATGGGGGAAAAGTAGATCCAGTGATAATGCAGAAAGTTCATAAAAATGCTAACCTGTCTTCCCTTGTACGAAATTGTTCAAGTATAAAAATCCAATACAGTGTAAAATAGTATTCAATTTAGTTTAAGAATAAAAATTGCAAGTATTGCAGTTTCAGAAGAAAATCATGTAAAGCAGCATTTCAAACTACAGAATAGGAGTGTTAGACTAATGAGTTACCGAAAGATGAGATCTACACAAGCAACAACTCAAAGAAGCATGAAATTAGCACGACAGCCTGTTGAAAACACCTACAACTAAAATAAATGAAAATGTGTTAATGGAAGAGGACTCTCTTATACAGTGCACATATGAATTTAAATAAATCCAAGTCAACATCTTTCGCCGAATAGGTTAATATTTAATATACTACATCTAGACCTACTAAATAATTTATGCCATGAGATGAATACATAATTTTACAGTGTCACATCTAAAGTTTCTCGCTTTAGAGTGCAGCATAGTAAAACTTAAAAATAAATATCTTAAATAGCATTACTATTAAGGCACAGTATAAACCACATCGTTAATCTTTGAAGAATTGTAATCTCAGTAACCTTGTTGCCTCATGTCCTGTAGTCACTAATAAATAGTTTTAAATATGACTCTGAAATAGATACGAAAACGTGTAAAATTACTCAAAAAGGGAAAAAAAATAAACGTCCTTAAGACACTTCTTAAGGGTTTAGAGTCTGCAAACTTTGCCTGCCTTCATTCATAAGCCACGAGTCGACACAATAAATAGAAAGAGAAGGCTGTTGTAGGTAAAAGCCTGATCCTATTTCAGAATCAGAATTGCTGACGCCAGCAGATACAAGTTTCCCAAAATTGAAACAGGATGGGGAGAGGGATTAGAATGTGACAAGCTCATCCAACAAGCACAAGTGATGTGTTCTTTCCAGAACTGTGTGTTATTGATTGTCTATACAGCTGTTGCACCCTTTATGCCCACATCACTTGCTCCACAGTCCCACGCATGCTGAGGACAGATGAGAAAATCGCTTTGGTGCCTGTCCACCATTTCACCCACCGCCACACTCCTGGATTGATTGTTCGATGCCCATTTCTGAGATAGTAAGAACATTACCTTCTTACTTGAAAAAAAAAAAAGTTCTATAGGCCATTAGTGACTGCTAAAAATGACAATCAGTGCTTTCGAACACTTTAAAAAAAATCTGCTTTTAAAGGTAATTCAAGCTACATATTGCTCACTCTGTATTCCCTGGTTCAACTAGAATCAAATAGCATTTTTCTAACTTGGAAAAGGCAGTTTGCTTCCCTGATACTATAAAAAGCAAAAATAAAGCCTCCAATTATAAAAGTGAAGTTCCATCTCTAGTTCTCCATCATATTCCTAGCGGCCTTCACTGACTCAGGGTCTCCGGGGTTGATTTCCAAACCTGAACCTACTTCCCTCACACTCCCCTCTTTCTCATTCAAGAACATTATTGGGTTATTTTTTTTTTTAAATTCTACTTAACAGTGCATAATGCTTTTTTGTTGCTGTTCTTCTTTTCCTAAAGCTGTTAAAAGTTAACATTAACGCTCTCAGTATCTACTAAAAAACTGGGAAATTGGGGTGGGGGTGGGGAAGAGAGAACAATTGAACTTTGATCAGATGGCTGGTGGTCTATTGCATTCGGTCTGTTTGCAGCTGCTGTGGCTGATACTGGCCAAAGGCGGCAGCGGCAGCAGCTGCTGCAGCAGCGGCAGCAGCTGTCCCAGGTGCCGCCGCGGTGATTGGCTGCTGGACGGCGTAGCCGTAGCCCCCAGCGGTGACATATCCTGCGGCAGCTGGGGACGCGGCATAGGGGTACTGGTCATAGGCGGCCGCCGCGGCAGCTGCGGCTGCAGCAGCCGAGTACTGTGCGTATGCAGCTCCAGTGTAATCAATGTAAGGTGTGGTGGAGGCAGCAGCTGCAGTCGGCTGGACGTGGGGAATTACAACCCCGGGCTGCACAAAAGCCTGCGGGTAGACATAGTGGGCAGGTATCCTGTTGAGAAACAGAAAACAAAGTCAGGTAACCATCCCCTCCTTTCTGTGGCAGTCGCCGTCCAGAAGTAAGACAAACTCAAATTTAGTGGTTATTATGAGCATAGGGTTGCCACAATATCTACTTGCTAGTGGTCCACTGAAATAGCTCTGGCAGGAGCCAGAGTCACACAGGTGCCTCGAAAGAATTCAGTAATAAAAAAAAATATCATGATGCCCTCCTCACTAGAATTTTTATTTACATGATTATTCAGAGCCATTCAATGCCATGTATGCAAATTTAGAAAGTAAATCAAAGTCTATCAGATCCAGGAGCTTAACAAGTACTGTGTAGATGGTTAATTGGCTAAGACTTTCGAAAATTTTCTAACGCATTCACAGAGGATCGGTGTTTAGCAAATACAAGTCTTAGCAGTGAATGCAGGACCCAAAGGTCATCCACGATCACTCCATTAAGTGGGGCGAAGAAGGCCAGCTTGTCAAAAGCAAAAAGGACTGTACCAAAATATTTGGCTTAAATGATCTGTGTTGATTATCATGGCAACCCTACTTGAAATTGCTAGGCAGACTCAGCACACATTAATCTCTCTGCAACCTCAGTCACCCTTATTAAAAAAAAAAAATGTAAAATAAGCAGGCGACAAAAAAAAAGAGTTTAAAAGGTTCACAAGTGTGGTAGCACAGCAGAATCACACTTCTCAAACGCTCTGAGTGCAGCTCACTCGTCACAAGAGGCTGTTGTGGGAAGCTACAGAAATGCTATTAACATTCACGGCAGTGATTTCCCAAAGAGGTGCAGCACACTTTCTTTCTTTCTTTTCTGTTTTCCCCATAAAATTCATAAGGACACAGAGGTCAATCAAACCTGTTTGACTAGCAGGCAACTGAGGGTCAGCCAGCTTGTTTATCTCTATGCAAGACAGACAGAAGGGGGTGTGGGGAAGACAATGAGGTTGAGGGTAAGGGAAGGGCAGGGAAATACTAAAAATCTCCAAAACAAATAGAAACTTTGACAGTTTATACAGTTCTATGCGTTAGAAAACATTTCAATTTGGTACATCCTTTAACTCTCTTTTATCCTCCACATAAGGAGAAATAAAGTTTATGAGCACGTATGTTTTCATTCTGTCCTATTCACAGGTATTTTGTACAAATTCCATCTATCCTCCTGCAAGAAGTTCAAGAAGTGAAAACAAAATCAAGTCTTTTCAAATGACACACTCATAGACCACTGACTCAAATGACTCCACTTGAAAATGAACTTAATTTAAAAAGAAGTCAGTCAGAAGAAGTTTAACAACAACCTCCACCCTCCCCTCAAAAATCAAGCAACTCCACTCTCGCTCTTGTAATTTCATGATCACGGTTCCATTATCACACTACAATGAACATATGATTTATTTTCATCTTTAAAATAATCTGCACCAGAAAGCAATAGACTTCTAAAAGTATGCCACGTGGCTAATGCCATGTGGGCAAAGGCCCAGCACTTTTAAATACAAGCACAAGTGGCAACATTTAAATTTGAAACTCCAACAGGAAAGCTGGACATTCTAATTTTCAAAGCACAGATTTTTCCTCTGCCTTTTCAGCATTTCACTACCAGTACTCCTTAATTAATATCCATGGAAAAGACGTATTTGTCACAGAAGGCAGCACACTTTGACCTCCATGATAAAAATACACACTGAGTTTTACTCCATCTTCCCCAGTGCCAGGAGAAGCGACGTCACCAAAGTGTTTCTGAGGACACTCGGAGATGTTCTGAACTGCATGTCAGAAACCAGACACGTGGTGGTGCAGACACTCAGAAACTTTTCTGCAGGTTAGGGGACTGTCCTCAAAGCAACAGGTGTGGCTTTAGGATACACTGTCCCTGGAGGTGGCCTTGTGCACTGAGTGGGGACAGGGCTGAGAGAGTCTGCTCGCATGCCAGTTTACACGTGGTGATGGACAGCAGGGGCTGCACCCGGGCTATTTTTGATCCTGTCATGCGACAAGGGTTTCCAGCGGGTAAAATGTCTTTATAAGGCCAAAGTGAAACATCTATCAGCTGCAAAGGCCAGCCAGCATGGAGCTCACTGATATGGAAACTGTTAACCCCTTGTACTCCTCAAGTTCCCAAGGACAGCAGAGTGACTTCAGGGCTCATGGGCTTGAATGGAAGTGTTACCACAAGTTTATCCAACACATGGGTAGGATGGAAATGTGTGCGCATGCATTACATGATAAGTGGGATTACTTAGGAGATCCTTGTCTCTTCTTGTATTTACTTTCTAGAGAGGTCTCTGGAAGATCAGAATTCTATGTGAAGCCTGACAAGAGTAGGAAGGTTGTCTGGAAAGCACACAAAAACTTAGAACTCTTTGAGGTTCAAAAAAAAAAAAAGGAGAGTCCTGAAGACTGAAAAGAGCCTAAAATATCTCGATTCAGAAGGGAGGAGACCACAGCGAAGCATAAGGTGGCTCTTCAGAAGCAATCCCTCTACTAGGTGTTCTCTGACCAGTCCACCACCACCAATCTGCCCTTGAATCAATCCAGACTCATAGTGATTCCATACGTGCCAGAGGCCAACTGTGCTTCCTAGAGTTTTCTTTCAAAGGCTGATTTTTCCTATGGCCTTTCTCCTGAGGAACCTCTGGGTAGTTTTTAACCTTCAATCTTCTGGTTAGCAATTGAGTTAATGGTTTGTATCACCTTCCCAACTTAAGGGACATGCCTAACAGCTACAAAAGGACAATGGCAAATGAGATACTTCCAGCAATTTTGAAACAAAATTGTTTTCTTACCTCTGCACATCCCTCTGGTATTTAGAGGCAGTAATAGGCAATTCTTTCCCCTTCTAACCCAAAATGCACAATTTTCAATCTGCCACTCACTTGTTCCTAACAACTTATTAAACTATCTGTTAATTTTTTAAGCCTTGGCATTCTTAAACACTTCATGATTCTGGCTCCAAACTACCTTTCTGGTACTTCTTTATACCTTTCCTTAAGTTTAGGACAACTGAGCTCCTCAATATTTGCGGAACACTCCTGGTGGTGGTCTTAGATCTTCACCTTTGGTCACCTCAACCCTCCATTAGTGACATTAACTCTCATTCCATCTCTATCTGTAGAAAGCCAAATCCTATCCAGCCCTAATCTTGTTAACTGCCACTGAGATGAATGACCCTAAAGAGTTTGCAAGGTTGTGACTTCCCAGGAGCAGAGGGTCGAGCTCGGCTTCTGACGCTCCTCTGTGTGGGTCTGAACCACCAACCTTCCAGTTAATAGTCCCGTGTGTAAACATCTGCACCACTTCGGGCCTCCTAGCTTCACTCATCACCTGTAGGACTTCCAGTAATTCAGTCTCATGTGTGAAATTCTCACAGGTGAAATAGACCTAGTATTTTCAACTCTTGAGTAAAATCATCAGTGCAAAGAACCTGCTATGAAGAGTATAGCAGGTTCTCAAGAAATGAGTTCCCTATCTTCCACTACCCTTTAAACCCAGGTTAACTTCCATCTCCTTCTTAAAGAGTTCCTGGATTCCACCACTGGATGTATCTCTCTCTTTTTTGAAGTGTTCCTAATAAATCACAAGAAAGAATGAAGTTCTGTGTTTATGGCCTGACAGGGGAAAGAATACAGCCTTTGGGGTCAGGTGGACCAGGATTCTGAACCACAAATCAGCCTCCTCTCACTTCCTAGCCCTGTGACCTCAGGGAAGTTAATTCACCTTTCTATGTGTTCCCAGTTTTTGTTTCGTTTTCCCCGCATGGAAATGATATTAATAGTGTCTTCATCAAAGAATTACCATGAGGATTAAATGCTATAATTTATGTAAATCCCTTATCAGTGCCAGGCACGGAGCAGATGTTTACTTAACGTCAGTAACCACCCTTCCTGCGCCCCCATAGCAGAGAACTTAGCACCCAGCACAGTGCTAACACACCTACCACAAAATTCAACACTTACAAGTGTACTGAATGAATGCTTACGCCTGCTTTCAACCCTGTCTACACTAGCATCCAAATTTTTCTTCTCAGGTCTACAGTTTGTCCTCTTGAGAGTTTGAAGAAGAAAAACACTTCTTCCAAACATGAAACATTAAGAGATTCTCAAATAAAGTCACAAGTTCCTACACACCCACCCACTATGCTACATCAGAAATTCCTCCAGGCCCAGGTTTTGTCTTATCTGAGAGTGGCCCAGGGACCACATAAAAAATAATTCTGTTACTAGACTTTCAAACAATTGAGTAGTAAAGTGGGGGAAGAATTGATTCTCTTTATAGGTCTGGTAAGAACAAGTGATATTCAAACAGAATTTGGTCTTGACTAGTGTGATTTGTTAGGTATAGACTTCTGGGGATTAGACCAGCCTTGAGAAATCCTGAAAAAAGAGAAGGTTGGCTGGTTTTACCTGAAATGCTATCTAATTCTACTACGGACCTCAATTTCAAACAATTTATGCAAACACTAATCACCATTCCTTAGAAAGTCAGCGACTATCAGAAGAGATGAAAATTTCAACACAAAGACTGCTATCAAAACACACTTGATTTAAAATTTTCACATGACAGCTGACTCTAATTGGTCTACTTTTCCTTATGTTACTCTGTTTTCTCAAGGCTCTATAAAGATCACCACCAAATAAAACGGCCATCCTTGAGTCACTTCCAGCTCCTGTGACCTTGCAGGTCACAGCAGAGCTGCTCCATAGGGTTTCTGAAGCTGCGGAGTTCCACAGAAGCAGAACGCCTCAGTTTTCTCCTAAGGTGGATTCAAACTGTCAATCTTCTGGCTAGCGGTTCAATGCTAAATCCACCACGTGACCACAGTCAGTCTAAATATCTATGTCTAGCTCTTAAGAATCCCCATCACGTCTTGTTTCTCCATTCACAGGGTTTTCCTTTCTGTGTCTTCACTCACATTCACCCTCATCCCACCCTCCTTCAGAGAAGTCTATTCTTCCTTCCACAGCCATCGGCCAAGCTGAGCTCTGGTCAACCTCCCTCACAAAGTCCTGCCCAGCTCTTCCAGCACATCTATTTTCTTGCTATTCTGAATTGTTCCTGCACATGACACAGCACCAAGTTATTTAGCAATTGCTAACTCCTCACTGCTTTGTGTTTTATTTTTTCCCCCCAAAAAACACAGTATGATTTCCTCATTTGGTCTTACCCACCAGCACAGTGAAAGAGAAACACATGCTAAGACCCGCTGACTGTGTCGATTCTTTCTTTAAGATCATGACAAAGATCTCCAACACTTCTTGAGATGTATTTTCTCCAGCTGAATTCTACCTTAAACGTATAGATAGTCTAGACCAAGGGGGGGGGGGAACGGTCATTACTGCATTGTTGCTGGTCAATCCAGGCTGGCTTGGATGGGGCTTTCCTACACAGCTATGGACATATGACAGCTCTTTACTAATCACATTGGACAGAAAACTTTTCTAGAGTTAAAAAGAAAAACAAAGAAAAAACAAGAGTTTGTAATAAAAGTGAAATGCTCATAAGCTAAGGGTATAGCAATAAGAAAATACTGATGGTACACAGAATTTTATTTTCCCAAGTCCTATTTTTTTGTCTGTCCTTGCAGATACAGAGGTAATCACATCTATCTATATAGACAAGAACCAAAACGCCAGCTTCTACAAATCCCTATCAATGTTTTGGTGTTCAGTTAGGGAACAGATTACTACTGAGAACAGAATATACCTTGAACAACTAGACGTTTTAAGAAAGACATTGAAATCTCTGGCATTTGAGTTACAGGAATGTTGATTGGGCAGAGCAGGGCCCAAACAGACTCCAGTGTTCAGACTAAATTTAGGAGGTGGATGATATTCCACTCATGCCATGTCTAAATAGGAGGGAAATGGGGAGCTCAGATAAGGAAAGCTGTTAATCAGAGAATCCAGAGAGAGCACAGACAGGAGCAGGCGGTTCACCTGGGTTAGGTCTGAAATGTGGAAGTTAGTGCTACTCTAATAAGAAAAAAAAAACCAAACTGGCTAGCGTTAATGAACTCTGATGAGAGGAGTCTTACTTTTTAATTAGAAGGCCTCTAAAAATGGATACATGTGGCAAAAGAACCCCATTCCCAGAAAACTCCCCAGTAAAACAGAAACTTAGGGCATGCAAGCAATGAATCTGTAGTCTGACAAAAAGAAATCACACCATTTAGCACTCACTACAAAGAAATACAGGGTAAGTGGAAGTCACAGGCTACAGCTTAAAAGCAAGGGGGGAAAAAGAGAGGCCCTTTGCTTCCCGTGGCAAAGTCAAAAGTCAACACGCCTCACCACCACCACCACCACCACCACCACCAAAAACAAAACACAAAGAGCCCCTTCCCCGAGGAAAAGAAAACACTTTCACTACAGCTCTTTTCAATTAAGTAAAAAGCACACAGTTTAGCTATCAACACCACTTCATTACCTTAATAAATAAAATAAAGCACACGGAGGTCTATTGACTATTGTGAAAAATAAAATAAAAAACAACAACCAACAACACCAACATCCATGCATCGTTAATCACCATCTGAGCTTGTGTATGAGTCTACTGGTTACAGAGTTTAATTCCAAACAGAACTATTCCACCTCTTATCATCGTATCCTTCTCATCAGTTAGCTTAACTGTATACGAACCCTGTCAGGTTAGAAAGAGATAAATACAATTGAGTCAAGTTGCAACAGCAGAAATGGTGAATGGGCAAAATCACCGTGTACACAACTCATACCTGGTATTTTTGTTTTGTTTTGTTAATCATAAGCTCAAAATGTGTCTGGTTTGGAGGTCACATAACTTGACTCATCTAAAAATATGTATGGTATCAGCATTAAAAATACACAAGAATGTATAAAGCTGTATAACCAGGGCAATTTTGTGACATGATGTATCATGTGGGTTTAACAAAGAGGCAGATTAACAAATGACAGAGCTATAGAGAAATGTAAGAGGGCCAGTTCAATTGACTTACCCAAAAGGTCTTTGTATAAGAGCTGGATGAAGCTGCTGAACACCAAAGGCAAAACCTAACAACAAAACATACCACATTCTCTATTTGTAGGTGGTCACATTCCCACAACATGTAAAATGCAATCACAACTTTTTCTTGAAAAAATAACTATTCTTTGAATACTGTAGTAGAACTTACACACACACACACACACACACACACACGTACGTCTATATATATATACATACATACATACGTGTCTGTATTGAGTCAGTTTTATAAAGGCTACCACTGAGGCCAAATACAGATGTTAGAAGGCTCAAATGGAAACTTTAAAAATCTTCCACGTATATTTGAAATAGAAAATTAAACCAGGGACAATTCTTGTGAAATTAAAACAAAAATAAGACCTGACAATGAAGTTGCATATCACAAATACTCTTACCATCCTGAATCACACTCTATGAAAAAAACCAAACCAAACCAAACACCAACCCTTTGTCATCTGGAACAGTGATTTGAGAATGCTCTGGACAACTCTCTAAAAGAGCTGGAGTTTGCAGCTTACAGGATTCAAAGTTCCACAAAACTAAATTCTTTCTTTCACTTCTGGATTATATACACAAAATCCAGTAGACAGATACGTGAATTTTCTATTGTTAGTTGCCTCAGAGTTTATTCCAATTCCAGGCGAGCCCATGTGTGAAGAGCAGTACTGCTATGCAGGGTTTTCTAGGCTGTGACCTTTCAAGCAACTCTCAAGATCAGCCTTGGGGCATCACTAGCTATGTTTGAATTATCAACCTTTTGGCCAGTAGTAGTCAATTGCTCATGTCACCGAAGGATCCCTTATTTAAATGTAAACTGAATACTGACTGCCATCAAGTCAATTTCAACTCATGGAGGCAACTCACAGGGCAATAGGGTTTCAAAGCCTATAAATCTTTACAGGGACAGACTGACTCATCTATCTCCCATGGAGCATTCAGTGGGTCCAAACTGCTAACCTTCTGCTTAGCAGCTGAATACCATAATCGCAAAACAACTAGAGCTCCTTTATATATAATTTAATGAATGCCCTTGATTACTTGCATGTGGATCCATTACTTGAATAACATGGTTTTCGTTTAAATCAGCTTGGATCAAAGTGTCAGCCTCTTTCCAAAACTTCAGATGGAGAGGTTTAAAAAGAGATTATGAAGAGAAAGATACTTTCTCAAAAGTCAGTTATCAATTATTTGGATGAATGCAAAGACAATGTTGGAAACAAACCAACAGGTCCTGTTTTCATGCAGAAAACGATGCTCTCTTTTTGGAGACTTAACTGCCACATAATTTTGGAATAGGTTTTGGATATCTAATTTCTAAGTGTCAGCTGCTTTATCTATATGGGCCCTTGGCAAGTTGAAATCTTTCTTTCATTGCTGGTGATTTGGGATTTTCTATCAAAGTTTTACTATCATGGCACATTTCCAACTTCCAGAGGGTGAGTATTTAGGTCAGATTACGTGATCTGAGCAACCAGAGGTAAAGAATGACACAATTCTACAAGAGCCAGCTGGAACTGACAAATTTGACCACATAATCTATATGCAAATTATCTACAAGTAGCTGAAAGTTGGGATATTGAGAGTGGAGTAACACTATGTATCAAATAGGAAACAGTTTAGTCAGGCCTAAAGGACTGGACCATCTAGACCTCATCTCCCCCACCCTCACCCCATACACACACTGGAAAATAGCTTATGGGTCCTGCTTGCAACCTTTTTTTTTTTTTTTAAATGTCTTGGTACAATAACAAACTTTAATTCAAATTTTCTAAGTAAAGATACATACAGATTCAAGGAGAGCCAGTGTCTTGTACTGCCAGGGATTCCTATTATTCAGGAGTAAGGGGTTCTGATGGAGGGTAGGGGTTGTGACCAACATTTCTCACCTGGTTGCATGATCCTAGGTTTTGCTCCCAAGTATGCCAGATTCACGTTGGCCTTCCTGCCATCAATGATGGGGTTGGGATCCTTGCAGGCCCTCTCAGCAGCTGCCCGGTCAGCCATGGTGACCTTAGCAATATATACACACAGACACACATACACACAGCTCTAAGTTAACCCCTGAAGGAAAAACCAAGACTCAACACTAGAGAAGTTATTTATGATAAAACCAAGCTAAGGACTCTCAAACTTTTTCTCTTTGATTTTTTGGGTGTTCCCCCCACCTCAACTTTTCTCTTTCCTTGTCCCTGCCTCTATCTTCCCTAAAAAAAAATTACAATTACAGCACCCTCACCCTTAAGTCTTATGGGTGCAGGTAGGGCCTACTTGAATTTAAGAAGCCTGAATTCCTTCTTGGAAGGTCTTTGGATTCTCCCTAAGCCCAGGGCCCCCAAGACTAGCCCGAGAGCCACTGTTTGCTTTAAAGTAAGTCCAGCCTCACATCCGCCTGGTGCGCCCAGCCACCCGCAACATATCCCAACGACAATAGCTATTGTCCTACTCTGGGGCTCGCCACTCTTTCGGCAGCCTAATTTCCGCGTTGAAATCTCCAGGAAGCTTAATAGACTCTTTCTCAGTTCGGCGAAGAGCCACACGATCATCTTTTAAAGAACCTACCCCGGTAATTGTAAAAGAAGGGAACGGGAGCAGTTCACACGGGTGGTTCACACGCATTTTTACAAAGCAACAGCGCGCTTAATCACCGGCCTCCAAGCTGGGAATGCAGTTCTGCAGGGCAAAGGCCCCTCCCTCCCAACCTTCAGCACCCCTAAACCCAAAGGTCACTGGTAGGCTCCCTACCGCCCCTCCCCCTCTATTGCACACATCCCCCCTCCCCCCCCCCCCCCCCCGCCAAGGGACCTCTCGCAACCCTAAGAGGTAGGGGCGCCGGCCCTCCCGCCTCCAGCTCCACGGCACAAAGTTTCAGTTCAGCAGGGAGCAGAGAAGCGCGCGCCCGCCCGCAGGTTCCTCCCACTATCACGCCGGGCCCGGCACCCCAAACTGTGACCCTCGGGGCCAAGAGTCACTCCTTCCTTCTCCGTCCACGCACCATCTCCCCTCTGGCCTCTTTGTCCCCCTCCTACCCTCCATCAGCACAACTTACAAATCCGTAGCCCCGGGACTTGCCCGTCTGCCGGTCGGTGATGACCACCGCCTCCTCGATCTCTCCGAAAACCTCGAAGTACTTGCGCAGGCTGGCGTCGGTGGTGTGGTAGGGCAGCCCCCCGACGAAGATCTTGGTGTACGTGGTGTCCTTCTGGGTCGTGTGCATCTTCGCGCCCGCCCCGCGGCTCGGGCTCCGGCTGCGGCTGCGGCTCGGGCAGCGGCTGCGCCTCCTCCTCCGGCTCCGCGTCTCCCGCA